AATTTATTTTTCTTCCTCAATTACTATAACAGCTGAGATAAGGGGTGCTAAATGGGCTTAATTGGGTTGCCATCATAACTGATGGCTTGGTTTTATCCAAACTAGCATCTTTTAAGTAGAATTAATTTAAATAATCTTAGTACATCCTCCATGCGGCCTAGAGCTTGGTTGAGCTACAAAAAGAGAAAGACCATAAATTGAGGCCTCTTTCTTAAGCTCACATCCCCCGGTGTCCTCAGTTCGGGGGCCATTGTTATTCAGTAGCTCAGTAGTCATTTTCAGATGGGGCTGGGTAACACTCGTGTCTTTTAATCAATCTAAATGTACTTTGCACAATATTTCAATTTTCACTCAGCTGGTATGATGGGAACATCTATCACATGGGGGCTGAGAAGAAGACAGGTGGGGACATGATAGATCTGAGCCCATGAAAAGTCATTATCGTGGTCTGTTCCACTTGAGTTTCACAGCTGTTAGGCTGCGTTCTCTATCTGTGTCTTCTTGGGAACCCACACTGCATTCTTCACTGACAGACTCCAACCTACTTGATACAAGTTGCTAAGTCATGAAAACATGCCGCAGAACATGGCGATAACTGGGCTGCTTCTGTCGCTATCATCCCCTTATTCTTTCAAATGAAAATAGATGGGGAATGCAACACTTTTGAGAAGGATGTAAAGACTTAGGACTCTAGAGAGAATGAGCTTTCTAGTTCAAAGCATTTTATATGGGAAGAACTAAAGCCGTGGGAAGAACTAAAAGGGATACTTATATATATATTTTTTCCTTTTTCTTTTAAACTCTGCATAGCACGGGTGCTGGGAGAAAGGGCCTTTGGCCTTATCTGAGGCCCAATATTGTCTTTGGAGTTTGGAGTCACAATTCAGACCTTCTCTGAGGGCGTACGAGACGTTCTGTAGTAATCGTGGAGTACTGAACCCTGTGCAGTTTCAGACCAGGAGGAGTGAAAGATGAGGTTGTAGGTGAAAAGGGGCAGGAAGACGAGCCTAATAGAAGCCTGAGCAAAAGGCACTGAGCCAGGAAGTCGCAGCCCGCTCTGCCTGTCCTGCCCGCGCCACCCCAGTGGGATTCCAGAATCTTAGGAGAAATTGCTTGCGACAGTTTGCAGCTCATACAAGACAGTGAGACTAACATTTGACCTTTCTGGTGATTACCTGAGCAGGGTGGTAATCACACTGGGACTTGCCCAGTGCTAATTGCTGCTGCTTTGTTCTCAGCAGCATCCACAAAGCCATTCCATCTTATTCCATTCCCGAATGTTCTCTTTCCATCTCGGTATTTTTCTTAACAGTTATTATCTGCCCCCCACCCGCTTCCTTTAAAGATAGGCCAGCAGTTCTGTGTCCACTGAAGCCTTTAATAAAAGCATTCCCGTACTCTGCGGCACTATCTTAACCTTTTCAGAAAATCTGGACCAAGAAGGTAAATGATGATATTCATCTCTAAAGATAAAATGCTTGCCAGCATTAAAGGTCATACCTTATTAATCTATAGGATTAAAGGCTTTACTCTTCCAATCATTTAACTATATAGCCAGTCCTGCTTTAGCAAAACAAAAAGCATTTCTGTTATAATGAAACAATGTTGTTAGGCAATTTGCAGCTCATTAAAACTGATAACAGTTTACGAAAAATGCCTTGTACATCCTTGAGCACCCTGTGGGTTGCAATTTAGCTTCTGCCCGCAGGGAGGGGCTAAAGTGTCTTTCCCAACCCAAATCCTCTAGAACCCAGGCATTACCAATATTATTATGAAGGGTGATTCTAGATCAGGGCTGGGCAAACTTTTTGACTCGAGGGCCACAATGGGTTCTTAAACTGGACCGGAGGGCCGGAACAAAAGCATGGGTGGAGTGTTTGTGTGAACTAATATAAATTCAAAGTAAACATCATTACATAAAAGGGTACGGTCTTTTTTTTTTTTAGTTTTATTCATTTCAAACGGGCCGGATCCGGCCTGTGGGCCGTAGTTTGCCCACGGCTGTTCTAGATCTATCTAGGCTAACAGGCTAGCTCTGGGGCCCCAACGTGTAAAGGGCTTTTTATTTCTTTTAACCTCAGAAAGGTTGTCAGCCCTGCTTCCAATTGCCTTTCTGCACTCACCATCCCGATCACAGTTTCTAGCCTCTAAGAGGGATCTGGGAGAAAACTCCATAGTTGTTCTGAACGGAGTAAGCAGAGCTGTTTCTAAGTTCTGATGTGCCCTTCTTCCCTCAGAGGGAGAGCAGAGTGTAGGCTTTGCTCTGTTCTCTCTGCACCTCTCTGGCCCAGCAGCAGCTGAGGATTGTCCTTCCTGAGAATGATGAGATGCGGAGAGTCTACCTCTAGGGTAAACCGGAACTTAGGGAATCTGTGAATGGTTACAGTCTTCCTGGGGAAGGCACAGTGGACCAGGTACAGGCTCTGTGTAAAGTCATTTTTTTTGGTTAAGTTTTTCAAAAAATATATTTTTATTGATTTCAGAGATGAAGGGAGAGGAGAGAGAGAGAGAGAGAGAGAGAGAGAGAGAGAGAGAGAGAGAGAGAGAGAGAGAGAGAGAGAGAGAGAGAGAGAGAGAGAGAGAGAGAGAGAGAGAGAGAGAGAAATATCAATGATGAGAGAGAACCACTGATCAGCCACCTCCTGTATGCCTCACACTGGGGATCAAGCTCACATCCTGGGCATATGCCCTGACCGACTATCAAATGACCGGGTATCAACCGGGTATCCTGGTTCATAGGTCAACGCTCAACCACTGAGCCACACTGGCTGGGCCGTTAAATTTTTATTGAAATAGAAATGTTCATGTTTCCATAAATGCACAGCTTGAAGAATTTTCAACATCGGAATATACCCATGTAATCAAATTTAACAAGATCCCATCTGCAAAGTTTCTTCTGATGGCAAGTAAGCAACGTAAGCCAAACGCCTTGGCATAGCACACGGGGCATCTCAAGGCCCATTTCATTACCTGTTAGCTACGCGAGCACCTGCTCTCAGCCAGGCATTGTGGTAGGAGCTCGGCATTTAACACGGGACCTAGTTCCAACCTTAGAACAGTCAGGAGCCCACCTGCTCCTCCGCCCTTGCGTTTGCACATATGGAACCTACTGTGCCAGGTTCAATGCTGGCCCACATCCCCACGTCCTTTCAGGCTTCTATTAGAATGACTCATCCTTTCTCACTTACCCTTTCCCACTCTGCTTAGAGGTCCCCTCCGAGAAACTCCCGTGACTGCCCCGAGGCTGGACGAGGGGCTCCCCTGGATTTGGTTCCATCAGAACAGCCTCACTCCTATCGCCCTCTGTTGTTAACTATTCCCCAAATAACTCATGATTTCACTGAGCACAAGGACCTGTGTTGTTCACCTTTGAGCCTCCAGGACCAAGCACAGGTCCAGCTCCCTGTGGATGCCGGTCCAGGTGCTGCTTCATCATGGCAGTTTCCTCCGCAGGAACCAGTGGGTCCTGTTTGCTCCATCTAATGACTTGGCTGGAGTTTGAGATGCTTTGAAGACATGACTTTACCCGCATATATACGACTAAATTTCTACATATTCATGCGCAGTGGATACAACTCTTCCCTTCCTGCCGCTTGCCTCCCATGCCGGACTCCCTTCTAGTTTTGCCTCCTCTGCTCAGCGTGCTCGGGCGGCTCCACGTCCCGACCTGCCACTTACCCAAGCCCAGGCTCAAGGCCGACTTCATCTGGAAGCCGCCTCTGCCTATTGTGTGTCACACCGACGCCTCGCTTCCTAGACGCGTGCTCCCCGCCTTGGTTTGTGTGTGAGGACCCAGCCTGGAGGATGGGCTCTGAGAATTCTCAGTTCACCATGCTGAGCATAATGAGGGTGACACGGAGAGCCTTACAAGTAATCCTTTTGATAGGTAGGTCTCACACTGAATTTTCAGCTTCGAACACCTGGCTTTTAGGAATAATAGGGAGAGCAGACTTTCATGTGTGTTTGACATAATAGACAGCTCGGCTCAACATCTCCCCCAAACAGCTCTGATCCCCCATCTCAGCCAATAACAAATCCCATTAGTTCTGTGTCTGAAATATACAGAGCATCCTCATGATCTGCTCCCTTTTCATGCCCTCCCCTATTCCCCCACCATCTTGCCTAAATTACCATCAGTTTCCTATGAGGTCTCCCTACTCCTGCCCGTGTCCCACACAGCTGGTCTCAACACAGCAATGGAATGGTCATGGTGTTTGAGCGCTACTCAGAACTTGGCAGTGGTGGCCCATTCCACACCAAGTGGAAGCCGAGGAGGTGTGGGGGCTGCACACCTACCTGACCTGCCCCGCTCCCTTCATGAATCACCTACTCTCTCTGCTCCAGTGTTTGCTTCATTCATGTTGTCACGTATTCAGCAAGGCTCTCTGGGGCTGCCCAGTTAAAAAGAGAGCACCCTGTCATCTGTTATCTCATTTCCCGATTTCCCTGTTTCATACATAAGGAGTATGCTTTCCATTAAAAAAAAAGGATTATGCATTTTACTCAGTTTTCTTCCTTTCTCCAAAATCGTGCCAGCTGCATGGGGAGAGTCATTTTTGTTTGTTCACTGCCACGTCCCCAGCATCTAGAGTGGTGTCTAGCCCGTGGATGCCGACTGCTAGCTTTTGAATGAACAGCAATGGTTTTGTGAGTATGAAGCTAGCGGAGGGTATACTGCGGGCGCAATGCAGTCACCAGGGTTGGGTGTCATCTGGGACTTTCACCTGCATTAAGTAAAAGATCCTAAGACGAAAGACATCAACGTGGCTCCCTCACCTCAGGGCGGCCTGAGTTGGAGCTCAGTGAGCTCTCTGCTCCGACCTCTAACGCGACAAAGACCTGAGAACCCCAGGACTTGGCTCGCTGTGTGCTTCAACATTAGCTTTCCTCACCCTCATACTTACATTCTTCCTAAAAATACCTCCAGGCATATCAGAATAAATTAAAAATATATTTACAACTGAAAAGTATAGATTTGATGGCATTTAAAACTTGCTCACCACTGTCGATGGCCAGGAAGAGGGCAGTGTAGACGCTGTTGTGGACGAATGGGGACTCGCGGTCCAGCACGGCGGTGGTGTCCACAGTCCCGTTGATGGGGTTAATGTTCAGCCAGCCTGCTGGATCCTTGTAGACAGAATACCTGAAAAAGTCCCAAACAGCACTGGGTTACATTCCAGATAGATTCAAGAAGTTTCCAGAGTGCTGAGTGCCAGTAATCCTAATCTTAACACAAACCCCAAAATATCATTACAGTTACAATGTTCATTCAGAAAGTAATGGCTCAGCTTTGGGCCTGCTCCATGCTAAGTATCATGACAAGTCTTTGAGGATGGGACCCTTATCTGCCCATCTCTCAGAGAGGTAAAGCTCACAGTTCCTCTCTGAGTCCAGCTCAGTTTTAAAAAATAAATATACATTTTTATTGATTTCAGAGAGGAAAGGAGAGGGAGAGAGAGAGATGGAAACATCAATGATGAGACAATCATTGATGGGCTGCCTCCTGCATGCCCCCTACTGGGGATTGAGCCCACAACCTGGGCATGTGCCCTGATAAGGGATCAAACTGTGACCTCCTGGTTCATAGGTCGATGCTCAACCACTGAGCCACATGGCCAGGCCTGTCTTTCATTTTGACAGTGATTTTATAGGTCTACCTGCAAACCCCTACCTTCTAGGACCCAGCTGAAATGTCTCCTCCTGGTCAAGTGTATGAGATCCCCAGTTAGAATTAGTGATTCTCTCTTCTAGGTCCTTGCTGGGTACGTGCATAGATTAAAATGCCTGTTAGAGTGTAATAGGGGCCCTTGTGGGTCTGCTGCCTTCTCTGAGCTTCCTCTTATTTTTTTTTACTCCTCACCCAAGGATATTTTCCCATTGATTTTTGGAGAAAGTGGAAGAGAGAGGGAAAGACAGAGAGAAACATTGATGTGAGAGAAACACATCCATTGGTTGCCTCTTGCATGTGCCCTGACCAGGGCCTGGGCTGGGGAGGAGCCTGCAACTGAAGTACGTGCCCTTGACTGGAATTGAACCCGGGACCCTTTGGTCTGCAGGCCAATGCTCTATCCACTGAGCCAAACCAACGAGGGCATTCTCTGAGCTTCTTGATGTCAGGAAGAGGTAGAGTTGGCTGAACGACTGCCTACCTATTGTGGTTTTGTGCTAAATAATTTAGCATCACATTTATTTTTGTGGTTCACAACCACCAAATAAAGTTGGTATCATTACTGCTACCAAGACTCAGAGAGACTTAGCAGCTTGCCAAAAGCAGCACAGCTAAGAAGTGGCCAAGCTGGAATCCAGGACAGGTGTGCCAAATTCCAGGCGTGCATGGATCTTAACCAGGACACAGCGTGTTACTTATGCCCAGGACCAGGTGTTGGCTATTCTGCATCCCCAGGGCCAAGATGAATGCCTGGCACATGGTGGTTGCCTAGGAAATGTTATTACAGTGCATCCTTTCTCTTTCAGTTGCAACAATCACAGAAATAGAAAATGCAAAGAAAGGTGACATTTGTTTCCCATCGTATTAGGTAGCAAGTTCACCCTTGATCTAGGAGTGGTTTGTGGTGGTTAAACATATTTGAAATAATGAAAAATTTAAATAGACCACAATTTATTCTCTGATTCCTCAACTCAGAGTTTAGAATATAAATAAAAACAGGAATAATAGAGCTTTTCCTGTTGGCAGTGAAACAATGCTCTTTGTTTCACTGTCATGTTTTGGTCTTGTGATGCTGCGGTTTTGCAGCCCAATGAACATGTTTGCTTCTTCTCTTGTGTAAGACGTTGTTATATGCAGCTAAAGGCTGGGGCGTGACCTTGGAAGCTGTCCCCTAGCAGCAGTGCACAGTGGGTCAGGCCTGTGCGCGTGACATTCCCCATGAAAGCAATTCCGGGGGGTGGGGTGGGCGGAGTGGTTCACAGGCCAGCATCTCACTGTTTTCTTCCTTAACAAACAATCAGGCATCCATTGCTGTGCTATCTGTGTTTCCACAGGGCCCTTCAGTGTTGTTTCTCTCTGTTATTTTATTTGGAGTCTCTTCCCATCGGAGGCCTTGGGAGGCACGGCTGTGTCCTGGATCTTGATGCCAGCGTGCTGCTTCTACCAGAATCCCAGCCACAGAGAGAGGACAGGGGACCCTGCGTTTGCTGGGCATTCCCAAGTGTCCAGTGCTAGTGACGCTGCGTCCACGCAGTCCCAATGAAGAGCTGGGTGGATGACCCCGAATGTGGGGGTCACCCTCCCCAGCCTCGGAGCTTTCTCCCCAAAGGGGAGAGCAGCTCATGGCCTCCAGCCAACCTGCTCCTCCGCTGCCCGGCCCGTGGGCCCTGCTGTCAGATCTGCCCTTTTGACCAGCTGGCCTGGCTCTCCACGTAAACTTCTGACATTTTCAAAGCTGTCTTTTTAATAAACCTTTCGGTGTAAAAATACCAGCGTGTGAGTTGTTTTCTGTGCTTCTGGGCTTGAAAAATGCATATGCCTTATTAAATTGGAATTTCCGGGCAATTTATCTGTAATGTGAACTTTGCTTGTTATAGGGGAAGAAAAGCCAAATTAAAACAGGACTCCTTTCAGTCTGTAACGTAGCTACACCGGAGCTGCTTGAGTGCTCGCCAAAGCTCAGCCGCTCTCAAGTGTCAGCCAGGAGATGCCAGGCAGGCTCATTAGTGGGATCGGGCAGTGTGGGGTGTGGGGACGAGGCACCCAACCGCATGCTCGGGCCCTGCACCCCTCCTGGGAAGCGGGGTACTGTCAGCAGGCCCCAGCAGAGCAGGAAGGGGGCTCCCAGGAGAGAGGCCAGGCCCGGTGTTGACTGGGAAGAACTTGCACAGCAGCGGCTGCGGCTCAGCCCTCACGGGCCCTGGTCCTGGTGGGAGGAGGAGGAGGAGACTCAAAGGTGTGACACGGCCCTTCTGCAAGCTTCTTGGGTTCACGCTCTGTGCTGTGGGGATCCATGTTTGTTCAGCATTGATACACAAAGCAAATGGGTTAGTACAGCCTTCCTTCTATTTTAGATTAAAAATGTTACAGAGCAATACAGTGCGATTAGTACAGGAATAGCCAAATGGATCAATGCCATATAACAGAGCACTGGAAATGGGCCAGTTACAGATAGATGTAGATATAGATATCTAATATATACCTAATATATGTTAGCTAGAGATCTATCAATCTATTTATCTAGCCATCCAGATAGATTTTATAGATAGTTATAAAAGGTTTGGAAAGTTATTGCTGGATGTAAGTGGCATGGGAAAGCTAGACCTTCCAATAAACTGTGTTGACTCATCCGTTTGGGGGGACAACAGTTGGGTATATTTGTGGTGCCTTTTGACCCTGGGGCACGTTAGAATATATGTAAACGCACAGAGAGGTCTTGGTGTTTGTTCACAAACTGGTAGCATGGATGACCTGGGGAGTGGGTTTGGGTTGGGGGTGGTATTAGAGGAAGCCTCCAGGATCCCAGGGCTTTGCAGACATGCCCCAGAAATGGAAGCTGGTCTAGAGCAAACACTAATTGGGGACCATCAGAAATATCCTGGCTGATATTGTAGGGAGGGTTGGTTTTTTGGGACCAACATGGGAGCCTCACTGCAGTTCACTCTCAACAAGGAGTCAGTGAGGATGGGAAAGACCACGAGAGCCTGGACAATGAGAACACAGGAAAGGGAAGTGCAGAGGGACTTCCTAGTCCTGCTGCAGGAAGCAAACGGCCTGTAAAACCTGGGAGAGAGGAAACAGCAGGCGCACTCCCAGCTCCCCATTAGTTCCAGCCCAGCGGCCCCTGTGTTAGATGGAATACCTGCACGAGTGACTCCAATCAACCACTTTATCTAAAAACAGAACTAGGAAGTTATGGAGTTCTCAGTGGAAGGACATACACTGGTTTCAAATAGTGCCTGTGGTAGCTCTGAGTATAAAGGAAAGGGCACATGACAAATCTTCTAACAGAAACACAGCAGAGACTGAAGGGCCAGTGAACTCCAGAATCCCAGTTCCAGTAGAAGCCACAGCCCATCACAGGGCCCATGGAGAAACCAGCGCTGCATTCTTTCCTTCTCCTGGGGAGACAGCGCGAAAGAAAGCAGTCTCAGTCACAGGAAGGACTTCCCAGGGATGCGGAGATGCCACAACCAGCAGACATGGACAAGAAGAGCTGTCCAGAGAGAGTGGCCCGAGGAGGACCTCATAGGGTGGGGAAGATGAGGATAGAGCTGGCCTTGCCTAGTGTGGGGCTATGACCCTCTGTGGCTCAATAACAGCTGGAGGCCAGGGAGGAGCTCTTGACACCTCTAGACCCTTCCCTGAACACCCCCACTCCGGCATCTCAGAGCCCCTGGTGGTCATCTGCATGAGGCTCTACTGGATCATAATTCCGACCAACATTCTCATCGCAGCTGCCATCTCCTGAAGGCACACGTACCCAAGGCTGGGTTGGTTCCCTCCAGACACTTGACTCCTATCATGAAAATAAGCAAAGCCCTCTATGTCTCAGGAGATACCTTCCACCCCTGCAATGGATCAAGTAGGGCTGGTGTAAGCCATTATCTCTGGTTTGTTGTAGGAAGTAGGAGACGAGACCACTAGGGATCATCTTTTGTTTGGATCTCTGCACCTGACTCTTTGCTTCTGTTCTACTGATCACACTCCATTCTCCAAAGAGCAACCAGCCTCATCGTCTTCAACTTGATGTCATATTGTGTGAGTCCCTGTGTAGAATCCTCTTTGGGGATAGAATAAATCCAAGCCCCTGGCCATGGCCTCCAAGGCCTTGACTAACTCTCCACCCTCACTTCCTGCCTCTTTCCTCACCTTCCCTAAGTACTAGACACATGGGCCTTCCTTTTGTTCCTTCAAATAGCAAATTCGTTCTATTCTCAAGTCTTTCTCACTTGACTCACAGATTTCCCACTTGTCTCCTTAGATTTCCTCATGTACCTTATTGCTATCGAGATCTCAGCCCCAACACCAGGCTCTATGTCCCCTGCAGAGACATGGCGGACGGGCCTGTCTGAGGTCTGCCTCCAACTCTGGCTGCTTTCTGACTTAGAACATGAGCTCCCTGGGACAGTGACTTCATCTCTTCATCAGCCCTCCATCCTGGACAGGGCCTGGCACACACTGAATAGGGGCTC